CTGTAGCATTGGAAGTGCTAGCCAGTGGCATAAGGCAATGAGAACAGTAATAAAAGGCATCCAGATTGGAAAGCAAGAAATAGGTCTCATTTGCAGATGACATGATGATATACACAAAAATTCTCAAGGAACCTATCAAAAAACTTTTCTAAAATTAGTGAGTTTAGCAAGTCAGAGGACACAACATTAACTTATATAAGGTAACCATATTTCTGTATACTATCAATGAACACAGGGAAAAATAAATATTAAAATATAGTACCATTTACAAGCACTCAAACACTATGAAACACTTAGGTGAAAATCTAACAAAATATTTTCAGAACTTGTATACTAAAAACTGCAAAACACTGAATGTAAAAAAATAAAGAAGATCTAAATAAATGGAAAGATATACCATGTTTAGGGATTAAAATACTCAACATAATAAAGATGTCAATTCTTCCCAAACTGATATAAAGGCATAGCACGAGATATTTTTTTGCACTTATAGATAAGACAGCTCTAAAGTATATAAAATATGTACTAAAATAATTTTTAAAACTAAATTGACTCAATTAATTCCACCCAATTTCAAGACTTATCACACATAGCTGCAATAATCAAGACTGCAGGTTGACACAATGATAGACACACAGATAAACGGAAGAAACTAGAGACCAGAAACAGCCCATAGAAGTTGAGCCAACTGACTTCTGACAAATGAGCAAACATAATTCAAAGAGGAAGGATAGTTTTTTTCAACAAGTGATAATAAAGTAACTAGATATTCATAAGCAAAAGGAAAAGAAACAAACTTAGCTATAAACCACACACACACAGAGATTTTCTATAACAATTAATTCAAAGCTGAAAATGAATTAAATGTTAAACACATATTAAAACTTTTATAAGAATATAGGAAAAAATCTTTAGAAGCTAGGGATTTATGAAGAGCTCTTAGACATTACTCTAAAAGTATACATTCCCATTGTTGGCAGGAATGTAAATTGATGTAGCTACTATGGAGAACAGTATGGAAATTCCTTTAAAAACTAGGATTAAAACTACCATATGACCCAAAAAGCCACTATTTGGCATGTACCCTGAGGAAATCATAATTGAAAAAGACATATATATCCCCATGTTCATTGCAGCACTGTTTCTGACAGCCTAGAGTGCAGGATGGGGTGGGAGGTGGGAGGGAGGTTCAAGAGGGAGGGCATATATGTACACCTATGGCTGATTCATGCTGATGTATGGCAGAAACCAACACAATGCTATAAAGCAATTATCCTACAATTAAAAGTAAATCAAAAAAATACTTGCCACACACACAAAAAGTATATTTCATAAAAAGTAAAAAGAAAATCAATAAATTGGACTTCCTCAATATTAAAAACTTTTCCTCTTTGAAAGATCCTACTAAAAGGATGAAAAAAAAAGCATACAAAGAGGGAAAAAAATCTGAAAACTTCATCTGGCAAAGGAATCATATCTAGACTGTAGGAAGAACTCTTAACAAGGCAGGAGAAAAAATAAATAAAGCAAAATATTCCAAATTTTTAATGCAGCAACTAATATGAGGAAACATTTGGATGAAGAAGATATACTACTGGCAAATAAGCACATAAAGAGAATTCAATACCACTAACAATCAGGAAAATGTAAATTAAGACAACAAAGTGATATCAACCTATTGGACATACACATAGTTGAGTAGCTAAAACAAAAAACTGTGACAGTACCAACTGCTGGTGAAGATACAGAGAAACTAGATCTCTCACACCTTGATGGTGGGATAGAAAATGGTAATATAAACTTTGGAAAAGAGTTTGACAGCTTCTTAAAAAAAAAAAACAATATGTATCACAGGACCTGGCAATAATATTCCTGGGCATTTATACCAGAGAATAAAACCATACATCCACACAAATACCAGGAATAGAAGGAACATACCTCAATATAATAAAAGCTATATATGACAAACCCACAGCAAACATTATCCTCAATGGTGAAAAACTAAAAGCATTTCCCTTAAAGTCAGGAACAAGACAAGGGTGCCCACTCTCACAACTACTATTCAACATAGTTTTAGAAGTTTTGGCCACAGCAATCAGAGAAGAAAAAGAAATAAAAGGAATCCAGATTGGAAAAGAAGAAGTAAAACTCTCAGTATTTGCAGATGACATGATCCTCTACATAGAAAACCCTAAAGACTCCACCAGAAAATTACTAGAGCTAATCAATGAATATAGTAAAGTTGCAGGATATAAAATTAACACACAGAAATCCCTTGCATTCCTATACACTAACAATGAGAAAACAGAAAGAGAAATTAAGGAAACAACTCCATTCACCATTGCAATGAAAAACATAAAATACTTAGGAATATATCTACCTAAAGAAACAAAAGACCTATACATAGAAAACTATACAACACTGATGAAAGAAATCAAAGAGGACACAAATAGATGGAGAAATATACCGTGTTCATGGATTGGAAGAATCAATATTGTGAAAATGAGTATACTATACAAAGTAATCTATACATTTAATGCAATCCCTATCAAATTACCAACAGTATTTTTCACAGAACTAGAATAAATAATTTCACAATTTGTATGGAAATGCAAAACACCTCAAATAGCCAAAGCAAACTTGAGAAAAAAGAATGGAACTGGAGGAATCAACCTGCCTGATTTCAGACTATACTACAAAGCTACAGTCATCAAGACAGTATGGTACTGGCACAAAGACAGAAATATAGATCAATGGAACAAAATAGAAAGCCCAGAGATAAATTCATCCACCTATGGACACCTTATCATTGACAAAGGAGGCAAGAATATGCAATGGAGAAAAGACAATCTCTTTAACAAGTGGTACTGGGAAAACTGGTCAACCACTTGTAAAAGAATGAAACTAGAACACTTTCTAACACCATACACAAAACTAAACCCAAAATGGATTAAAGATATAAACATAAGACCAGAAACTATAAAACTCCTAGAGGAAAACATAGGCAGAACACTCTCCGACATGAATCACAGCAGGATCCTCTATGACCCACCTCCCAGAGTAATGGAAATAAAAGCAAAAATAAACAAATGGGACCTAATGAAACTTAAAAGCTTTTGCACAACAGAGGAAACTATAAGCAAGGTGAAAAGACATCCTTCAGAATGGGAGAAAATAATAGCAAATGAAGCAACTGACAAAGAATTAATCTCAAAATATACAAGCAACTCGAGCAGCTCAATTCCAGAAAAATAAATGACCCAATCAAAAAATAGGCCAAAGATCTAAACAGACATTTCTCCAAAGAAGACATACAGATGGCTAACAAACACATGAAAAGATGCTCAACATCACTCATTATCAGAGAAATGCAAATCAAAACCACAATGAGGTACCATCTCACGCTGGTCAGAATGGCTGCTATCCAAAAGTCTACAAACAATAAATGCTGGAGAGGGTGTGGAGAAAAGGGAAACCTCTTACACTATTGGTGGGAATGAAAACTAGTACAGCCACTATAGAGAACAGTGTGGAGATTCCTTAAAAAACTGGAAATAGAACTGCCATATGACCCAGCAATCCCACTGCTGGGCATACACACTGAGGAAACCAGAATTGAAAGAGACATGTGTACCCCAATGTTCACTGCAGCACTGTTTATAATAGCCAGGATATGGAAGCAACCTAGTGTCCATCAGCAGACAAATGGATAAGAAAGCTGTGGTACATATACACAATGGAATATTACTCTGCCATTCTTTTTAAAGAATGTATTTGAATCAGTTCTAATGAGGTGGATGAAACTGAAGCCTATTATACAGAGTGAAGTAAGCCAGAAAGACAAACAGCAATACAGTATACTAAGGCGTATATATGGAATTTAGAAAGATGGCAATGATAACCCCATATGCAAGAAAGCAAAAGAGACACACATGTATAGAACAGTCTTTTGGACTCTGTGGGAGAAGGTGAGGGTGGAATGATTTGAGAGGATAGCATTGAAACATGTATATTATCATATGTGAAACAGATCACCAGTCCAGGTTCGATGCATGAGACAGGGTGCTCAGGGCTGGTTCACTGGGATGACCCAGAGGGATGGGATGGGGAGGGAGGTGGGTGGGTCAGGATGGGGAACACATGTACACCCATGACTGATTCATGTGAATGTATGGCAAAACCACTACAATATTGTGAAGAAATAAGCCTCCAAATAAAATAAATAAATTAAAAAAAATAAACAATAAAGCTTCTGAAGCATAAGAAAATATTTTCATGTTATCAGTGCAGATAACATTTTAAAGGAAAGATCATTATGTTCAACTATATTAAAATTCATAGAGTTTATATTTCAAAATATACATTGGAAGTAAAAAAGTAATACATAGATCGGGGGGGAAAAAAACTGTGTGCTTACTAATGCACACAGTCATTTTATTTCTAATAGAAAAAACACTGGGAATAACCAAAATATTCTTCAATAAACATTAAACAAACCAAGGTCCATCCATAGCATGGAAGATTACTTAGCAATAAGTAAAAAAAACTACTGATACATGCAACAACTTGAATGGATCCCAAAATCACTTTGCTGAGGAAAGAAAAGCCAATCTCAAAAGGTCATGTGCTAAACAACTGCAGGTATGCACCATTCTCAAAATGACAAAACTATAGAAAAGACTAAATTAGTGGTTGACACATTAGAAATTTTGGAGGAGTGAAACAGATATGACTCTGAAGCGATAGCAGGAAGGGAAACTTCATGGTGATGAGACCGTTCTGCATCTCAGTTATAGTATCATTACCCAGACCCACATGTGACAAGACAGTGGAGCCGTGTACACACACTCTGCCAAAGTCAGCTCTGAGTCTGATGCCCACGAATTGCATGCTCTGCACTACCTTTGCAACTTCCTACAAATTCATAATTATTTAATATAAAAACTTAAAAAGCATATCACACTGTGTTTCCTACTAAAATAGCAAGCATCGACACTCACTTCCAATATCTGGCCTCAGCTTCTTATCATATTCTCTTAGCAACTTGTTGAGAATAAGAGTCACATCTGTGTCTTGAGATTTCGGAGCCAACACCCACTTTTGGTTTGATGATGAATCTTCATATTCATCTTCTTCCACCTTCCTGGTCCTGTAATTACAGCACAAAGTGTGACATGTAAGTTGTAGCAATGATGACAGGAAATGTCTTAAGCTTTGGCCTGCCCAAGCACCACTGAAATAGGTAGAAAATCCCCAGTACACTCAGCCCATTCAAAAAACTACCCCTAAAATCTTACAAGTAAAACAAAACACACAAAAAGAATCCAATAAAAATGTCAGTGCTATTAACATAACATGATGCTTTCATTAAATGTCATAAAAAAATTCCAAGTCCATGTTAAATCATAGACATCATAATAAGTAATCTAATTCATGAAGGCCAACGAGCAGACAGTCAGGCTTCCTTGTATCAACCTTGAGATCTTCTGAAGATCAAGGCAAAAACAACTCACAGCTTCCACTTCTCGTTGCCAAGACCTCATTTTAGCTTAAGGTGAACAGCTTTTGCAGAATGCATTCATTGAAAATAGTTGAGTCTGACTCTGTGCTTCTCATGGAGCACCTTTGGTCTAGGCAGACACAGGGACATAAGGAGGTGATATGCTTGGCCAGCACCCATGTGGGGTGCCAAGGAAGAGATACTGGTTGGTAAGTACCCTCTGGTGATTTCACATACCTCTACCACACAAACTGATTAACCTCATGCAGAGCAGGCTTGTTGTTACTGTTCAGCCACTCAGTCGTGTCCGACTCTTTGTGACCCAATGGACTGAAGCAGGCCAGGCTTCCTGTCCTTCACCATCTCCTGGAGCTTGCTCAAACTCATGTCCATTGAGTCAGTGATGCCATCCAACCATCTCATCCTCTGTCATCCCCTTCTCCTACCTTCAATCTTCAAGCATCAGGGTCTTTCTGATGAGTCAGCTCTTCACATCAGGTGGGCCTCAACTTCAGCATCATATTAAGGATTGATCTCCTTTAGGATGAATTGGTTGGATCTCTTTGCAGTCCAAGGGAATCTCAAAAGTCTTCAACATCACAGTTCAAAAGCATCAATTCTTTGGCACTCAGCCTTCTTTATGATCCAACTCTCACATCTATACATGACTACTGGGAAAACCATAGCCTTGACTATATGGACCTTTGTTGGCAAAGTAATGTCTCTGCTTTTTTATATGCTGTCTAGGTTTGTCACAGCTTTTCTTCCAAGGAGCAAGTGTCTTTCAATTTCATGGCTACAGTCACCACCTGCAGTAACTTTGGGCCCAGGAAAATAAAGTCTCTCACTGTTTCCATTGTCTCCTCATCTATTTTCCATGCAATGATGCCATGATCTTTGTTTTTTTGAATGTTGAGTTTTAACCCAGCTTTTTCACTCTCCTCTTTTGCCTTCATCAAGAGGCTCTTTAGCTCCTCTTCTCTTTCTGCCACAAGGGTGGTGTCATCTGCATATCTGAGGTTACTGATATTTCTCCGGGCAATCTTGATTCCAGCTTATGCTTCATCCAGTTTGGCATCTCTCATGATGTACTCTGCATATAAGTTAAATAAGTAGGTTGACAATATACAGCCTTGATGCATTCCTTTCTTAATATTTTGAACCAGTCCATTGTTCCATGTCCTTTTCTAACTGTTGCTTCTTGACCTACGTACAGGTTTCTCAGGAGGCAGGTAAGGTGGTCTGGTATTACAAAAATTAAAATCTTTCTAGCATGTCTTTAGCATTTGGCCCTTTGATAGATGAATCCAAAAGAATGCTGAGCATCAGAATCTGCCCCAAGCAGGGCTGAGCCTGACAGCCACCTCTCCCAGGTGTACTTGAATGGAAAGGTCTCAAAATGCCAAGGTAGTTTCTTTAGTGAGTGAGGCCATCTCAGCAGCACAGCAATTTGGGCCTGAAAAGAGGAGAGTCTCCTCCAAAGTAGCGCTTCCAGGGGGCCTGCCATTTACCAATGCAAAAAAGCCTGTCACACAAATAAAACAAGCAAACTTCTTCCTTCGTGGCTTGTCAGTGTGTGCACCATAATAACACATCTTCCTTCACAAAAGATAACAAAATAGAAAATAGAAAATTGCATTGAGGTTTATTTGTCCTGATTAAGTATAAGCTCATTTCTGTTTAGCTTTCCAGATGGAAGCCAAAATGGCAACAACCTCACAAGGGAGTTGGCTTCTGGGACGTGTGTTTTTATGTTAATTTTTGTCATTGTTTACTCGCTCAGTCGTGTCCAATCCAACTATCTGTGACTCCATGGACTGCCAGGCTTCTATGTCCTTCACTGTCTCATGGAGTTTGTTCAAACTCATGCCCATTGAGTTGATGATTCCATCCAACCACCTCATACACTGTCACCCCCTTCTCCTACTGCTCACAATCTTTCCCAACATCGGGACCTTTCCCAAAGAATCAGCTCTTCACATCAGATGGCCAAAGTCTCCAATGAACATTCGGGGTTGATCTCCTTTAGGATTGACTGGTTTGAGCTCCTTGCAGTCCAAGGGACTCTCAAGAGTCTTCTCCACCTCTGTTCAAAAGCATGAATTCTTCAGCTCTCAGCCTTCTTTATAGTTCAGCCCTTCAATCCACACATGACTACTGGAGAAACCATATCTTTGACTACACGAACCTTTGTTGGCAAAGTGACATCTCTGCTTTCTAATATGCTGTCTAGGTTGGTCATAGCTTTTCTTCCCAAAAGCAAGCAGTTTTTAATTTAATGGCTGCAGTCACCATCTGCAGTGATTTTGGAGCCCAAGAAAATAAAATCTGTCACTGTTTCCTTTTTCTTCCCATCTATTTGCCATGAAGTGATGGGACTGGATGCCATGATCCTTGTTTTTTGCACACTGATTTTTAAGCCAGCTTTTACACTCTCTGCTTTCACCTTCATCAAAAGTCTCCTTAGTTCCTTTTCACTTTCTGCCATTTGGGTGGTATCATCTACATATCTGAGGTTACTGATATTTCTCCCAGCAATCTTGATTCCAGTTTGAGATTCATCCAGCTTGGTGTTTCACATGATGTACTCTGCATACTGGAGAAGGAAATGGCAACCCACTCCAATATTCTTGTCTGGAGAATTCTAGGGACAGAGGAGCCTGATGGGCTGCAGTCCATGGGGTCACAAAGAGTCAGATATGGCTGAGCAACTAACACAGACACACACACACACTGCATATAAGTTAAATAAGCAGGGTGACAATGTACAGCCTTGATGTACTCCTTCCCAGTTTTGACCAGTCTGTTTTTCCATATCCGGTTCTGATTGTTGCTTCTTGACCTGCATACAGGTTTCTCAGGAGACAAGTAAGGTGCTATGGCATTCCCATCACTTTAAGAATTTTCCATAGTTTGTTGTGACCCACAGTCAGAAGACTTTAGCATAGTCAATGAAGCAGATGTTTTTCTGGAATTCTCTTGCTTTTTTATGATCCAATGGATGTTCGCAATTTGATCTCTGGTTCCTCTGCCTTTTCTAAATTCAGCTTGTATATCTGTTACCAGTTCTCGTACTGTTGAAGCCTAGCTTGGAGGATTTTGAACATTACCTTGCTACCATGTGAAATGAGTACAACTGTGCAATAGTTTGAACATTATTTGGTATTGCCCTTCTTTGGGATTGGAATGAAAACTGACCTTTTCCAATCCTGTGCTAGGTTTTCCAAATTTGGTGGCATAATGAGTGCAGCACTTTAACAGCATCACCTTTTAGGATTTGAAATAGTTCAGCTGGAATTCTATCACCTCCACTAGCTTTGTTTGGAGTAATGCTTCCTGAGACCCTCTTGACTTTACGCTCCAGAATGTCTGGATGTAAATTTTTAGTATAGTAGTAAAGAACCTTCCTTCTAATGCAGAAGACACAGGTTGGATCCCTGGGTTGAGAAGATCCCCTGGAGATGGAAATGGCAACTCATTCCAGTATTCTTGCCTGGGGAATCCCATGGACAGAAGAGCCTGGTGGGCTACAGTTCATGGGGTTGTAAAGGAGTTGGATACAACTTAGCAACTAAACAACAACAACATAATATAATAATATTATAACATAACTATAATATATAACATCTGTAAAATCTTATGTATATGTCACATGGTTTATACATGACTCTTTTAATGAGTGTTAACTAGCTTTAACATAGATCAGAGCAGTATCAGCCAAGCTCTGTATGAAAATATGCATGTACATGAAGTTTTGATAATAGTATATGGCATATATCTTGAAGACTGAATTCATTTAACTTTTCCCTTGGCTAAGATCCCCTGGAGAAGGAAATGACAACCCACTCCAGTACTCTTGCCGAGAAAAATCCCACAGACAGAGGAGCCTGGTAGGTTAAAGTTCATGTGGCCACAAAGAATTGGACACAACTCAGTGACTAAATGATAATAACAATATTAAACTATATTTCTTGACAGAAAGCTTAGAATATATATATCATCCATAGGAACTATAAGTTGCCATGGATTTTTTGCACTGAATATTCACCATCAATAGGAACCTAAAAAATTTGGGACTGATATTCAAGAAGTGATATGCTTCATTTAATTACTGGTAAGACTTTACTTTTATAAATAATATTATCAAATCTAAAATGTTACAGAAGAATATTTTATTTATCACAAATATTAATTTTATCATCTTTAAAAGAAGTGGGTTGAGCATCACTCATTATCAGAGAAATGCAAATCAAAACCACAACGAGGTACCATTACACGCCAGTCAGGATGGCTGCTATCCAAAAGTCTACAAGCAATAAATGCTGGAGAGGGTGTGGAGAATAGGGAACCCTCTTACACTGTTGGTGGGAATGCAAACTAGTACAGCCACTATGGAAAACAGTGTGGAGATTCCTTAAAAAACTGAAAACAGAACTGCCATATGACCCAGCAATCCCACTGCTGGGCATACACACCGAGAAAACTAGATCTGAAAGAGACACGTGCACCCCAATGTTCATCATAGCACTGTTTATAATTGCCAGGACATGGAAGCAACCTAGATGCCCATCAGCAGACGAATGGATAAGGGAGCTATGGTACATATACACAATGGAATATTACTCAGCCATTAAAAAGAATTCGTTTGAATCAGTTCTAATGAAATGGATGAAACTGGAGCCCATTATACAGAGTGAAGTAAGCCAGAAAGATAAAGACCAATACAGTATACCAATGCATATATATGGACTTTTAAAAGATGGTAACGATAACCCTATATGTAAAACAGAAAAAGAGACAGATGTGCAGAACAGACTTTTGGACTCCGTGGGAGAAGGCAAGGGTGGGATGATCTGAGAGAATAGCACTGAAACAAGTCTATTATCGAGGGTGAAACAGACCACCAGCCCAGGTTGGATGCATGAGACAAGCGCTCAAGGCTGGTGCACTGGGAAGACCCAGAGGGATGGGATGGGGAGGGAGGGGGGATAGGGATGGGGAACACATGTAAATCCATGGCTGATTCATGTCAATGTATGGCAAAAACCACTACAATATTGTAAAGTAATTAGCCTCCAACTGATAAAAATAAATGATAAATAAATAAATAAATTGGGGGGAAAAAAGAAGTGAGTTGAGGAAAGACATGGATTTCTGGGAGCCAACCACTGCCCACAGGCCTGGCAACTCAGTCCACAGCAAAGGCACTCGGGCACTGTGGGCAGGGGGACAGCTCACCTGGGCAGGATCTCATGTAGCATCCTCAGGACTCCTTCCAACTCGCCCCCAGTGCAGTCCTCTGCCCCTCTGGGGTCTCTCTCCTCCCTCCCCCCCCTCCCCCAGAGACAGCTTACTAGTACAGACCAGACCATGCTTTCCAAGCTCTGCATCTTCTCTTGCCCCAACACTCATATGTACACAGAAGCACGCTAACTCTGCGCCAGTTCTCTCTATGCACAGCGGTAGTTTCTGAAAAATACTTTGAGCTACTTCAATAACAGGTATTATAATGAGACTAATTCTCCCTCTAGCGGTGAAGTGGTGATGAGTGTTTTCCTGAAATTGCGTAAGCTTCCTGGTTCAGGGTAGGTGAAGGGGGAGACAGAGAAAAGAACAACAGCAACAGCTTCTTCAGTACCTCCCCCTTCAGAAGGTGAAACGGGGCACCTGCAGCTCTGTGGCTGGGCTGGGGGGAGAGCAGGCAGGCACAGGCTGAGAGGCTCTGGGCCAACACTGGGCTCCTCCCAATCCTGAAGCCTCATCAGGTTGTGCAAGACTTCAGAGAAGGAAATCAAAGCTTCCCAGCACTAGGGCCAGACCACCAGCCCTACAGAAAAGCTTCCCTTTGTAGAGAACCCAACCTCATCTCAAGGACTCACCAAAATATGAATAAAAAAAAAATGTTCTGCTTTTCTAAATTCCAAGTGGGTCATATATAATATTCATGAGTGTTCTGTTATCAGGATTGTTGGATCCTAAATGCCATCACTAGCTTTTTCTTAAAAACAAATCTGCGATATACTTACAGTTCAGCCCTCAGATGGTATTTTCACGTCTTACAACTTCTCTTCGACTCCAAGGGCAGAGACAAAGCTGGATGCATCCATAAACATAAAAAGGAGCTCCTAAACTTCAGGCAGCACTAAGGCATTCACTTACAGTGTCACTAAGTCCCAGGTGTGACTTCGTGTTTTTAATGTAGAGTAAGTTCTTCCAAGGGTGTCAGAATGGGGTGCTTTGCTCTCCACAGAGCTGCCAACCTATCACCACAGAGCACAACTGTCAGAACCTTCTCTAGGGCTGTTCAACACCAGAAAGGCAGGCCAGAGCACAATCGAGAACTCTCTCAGAATTAATAACGGTTTTAAAAGGTGAGGGCTTCCCTGGTGGCTCAGATAGTAAAGAATCTGCCTGCAATGTGGAAGACACAGGTTCGATCCATGGGCTGGAGATCCCCTGGAAAAGGGAATGGCAACCCACTCCAGTTTCTTGCCTGGAGAATTCCACAGACAAGAGGAGCCAGGTGGGCCATAGTCCAAGGGGTCACAAACAGTCAGACACGACTGAGTGACTAACACTTGAAAGGTGATGCTGGACACTGGATTACTTCACATGTCTGTAACCCATTCAAAGAACAAAGATACTTTCAAAGAAGAAGCATATAGCAATAAAATTAATTTAAAACTTGGATTATTTTCAACTGATTTGCAACTTCTATTATCAAGGCCATGGAATCAACCCAGACAAAGAATATATTAAAGTTGTTACATCATCCTTGGCAAAATGGAATGATGAAGAATACCCAGGAACCCCTAGACACCTGAGTGCTTCAAGTCAGACATCCAGGTATCTTCCTACTAAGCTCATAAAGTAATGAGAACAATAAGCAGATTTCCTTCTAACACATTACGTATCTACAGATCAAAACAGCTGGTTTTCTAACCCTCAACTGCAGGTCACTTCATCCAGTCAGTAGCAGTAGGAAATTCAATTAGACATAACCTCAGATCGAGATATGACCTGGGACATCTACATTATGCCTGGTGTTGTTTGTTTCTAAACAGAGATACATCCAAGCGGGGTCAGCCTCGGGGAGCACACTTCCACTTCCTTCCCAGCTCATTCCTTCGACAGGAAGAAACTTCAGTTGAAGGACCAAGGAGTGTGCTGCCTGGTTGAGAGAGGTTACAGAGTCTGCCTTCCCCAGCACATACAATCCGCCTTTCTTACTCTCAACTCTTTGCAAAGACCAGCAGTTTGTGGCAGGGAGGAACAGGACTTTCTTCCTCACAGTCTGTCAAAGGGAGGGAGGGAGAACTATGACCTTTTCAAATTCATGTCTTGTAAGATTTGTTAATGTGCCTTCCTAGTCCCTCAGGGGGCTTCCCTCAGTGGTAAGGAACCCGCCTGCCAATGAAAGAGATGCAGGTTCAATCCCTGGTTCTGGAAGATCCCATGGAGAAGAAAATGGCAACCCACTCTAATATATCTGCCTGGAAAATCCCATGGACAAACAGAGCCTAGTGCGCTACCGTCCATGGAGTCACAAAAGCCAGGCACAACTGAACAAGTTCCTCAGTACTTCACGAATTTGAATGAACATGCAAGACCTCCCAGCACTGCACGCTGACACCTTTAGAGCTTATGACCCATAGGAAGGCTCTCTAGCCCCCGACCTAGGAAACGAAGAGGGTATCAAAAGTGTTTGGAGCGTCGAGGTGCTTGGAGATTTTGGGGGTCGTGAGGGGAGCAGAAGGAAGGGAGCTGCTCTAATTTTTAAAGCACAGGGCAGTCTCTAGGCTCTTGATCAGAGATCGAGTCCGAGACAGAATTAAAAGAACCAAACCCAGAATCTCCATTTATATTTACAGCAACAGGGTTTAACCCTTCTGGTCCCACTGTCCTTCCATCCTCATAAGCCATCTTCATCCCTTCCTGAATTATTTTTAAGGTCCCATCAGCTGGCTGGTGTACTGGGAGGAAGGGTAAGGGTGTCCATGGTAAGGTAACTTCCCACAGGCATTAGGCAGAAACCTCATTATCAACTTCAGTATGCTTGCTTCATTTGGGTAGGTTTGTGCATGCTGCTGCGTGTGAAAATGGCTCATACGGAAGGGGTGCTTATGTGCAGCGTGCATGTGCTCGCAGAACCTGGGAGGGGAATCCTTTCCGAGAAGCAGGGCCCACCATGCCCCCAACCTCCTCCGTCTGCCTTCAGTCCTGCTACTCCTCATAAAGACCGGTTTAAACTCGGCAGCTCAGAAACCTGACTCCCGGGTCCCGGGAGATTTCAAGGAGGGATATGATACAGAACGTTGATGTGTGTGTGTGTGACATACAGAATGTGTGTGTGTGTGTGTGTGTGTGTGTGTGTGTGTGTGTGTGTGTGTGTGTGTGTGTGTGTGTGTGTGTGTGTGTGTGTGTGTTCGCGCGCCCGGGGGCGCGCGCGGAACCCTGAAACACTTGGGGGAGGGGGAGGAGCGAGATAAAGAGGTAGACACCGGCTTCCCCCAGTGATGCTGATCTTCGAAATCCCTTAAACCCACCAGACCTTACAAGGTTCAGAAGAGCCCATTAGTCTCGGAGTCCCTGCGCTTCAGGCTGCAGAGAAGGCTGCGGTCGCCTAGCCCGGAGAGGCAGACGGCCGTGGCCGAGGAAGACGGGACAAGTAAAGAGCCTGCGACTCCCCGTCTCCTGCCCGCTCGGCCCCGGTGGAAGACGCCGCAGCCCAGACGACGATGGCCGGGCGCGCCGGGCACTGGGGACCGACGGAGAGCGCGCCGCCGCCCGCCCGCCAGGCTCCGCACCCCGGGCACCACTCACCGCGCGTGCAAGCCGGAGAGCAGGCAGAGGAGCAGCAGCAGCTTCGGGGCCATGCCGCCGCGGAAGGGGGCGCGGGGTCGGCGGCCCCAGGCCGAGCGAGGCTCCCTGCGGGGCGCGGGCCTCCGCTCCGCGGCTTCTCCTGGCCCTCGCTGCCTCCGACGGCGCCGGGCCTCTGCGGCGGGACAAGTGCGGACTCGGGCAGCGGCCGCGCCCCCGACGGCCGGCGGGTCTGCGCGCGCCTCCGCGGGGCCCACGCGGGACGCCGGCCCCGCCCGCGCCCCGGCGCGGGGTCTGCGCAGCGGGCTGGCGGGCGCGGGCTGTTCGCGGCCCGGATACCCGCGGCCCCGCGGCGCCCACCGCGCCTGAAGCGCGAGCCGCGCCGCGCGCAGATGCCGGGCGGTGGGCTCTACGCCGGTCGCGCGGCCGCCGCGCTCGGGGGTGGGGCGGGGAGGCGGCCGCTCCTCGGGCGGGCAGCGCCTCCGAGGCGGCCTGGGAGGGGAGGAGTTCCCCCAATTACACGCTCAACAATGCGCGAGGCCAAGAGAGGTTTGAATGGACCCGGAGCATGAGGCCGGGAAGGGGGCGGGGAAGCTCTGGGATCCCGCCGGGAGACTAAGAGAGGGTCCTAGAATCGGCACCCCTTGGTCTAGAAAGATCCCTGCGTTCAGAAAGACCCCTTGGTTTAGAAGTCCCGATGGGATGCACTCTCCCTGGCATTTCAACACCGCATTGTGGTTCTCTGCGCTCCCAGACCTCCCAGAACGTCCCCACCTAAGCGCCCTGGCGAAGGCGCGAGATGGTCTGCTGAGCAACCGGTCCTTCGCACACGTCGTTCTAAATCGACTGAACCCCTTCAGTGCACTGCTGAGATTCTGCATGGAAAAGTGGCTTGCTGGGAAGTACTTAAAAAAGCAACCCCGGAGTGTACCTTTCACACACAGGGAAAGACTAATACATACCATTGAGCAGCAGTAGTGAAAGAGAATGTTGAATGTTGGAGACCAAAACCTCTGCCTAGGTAAAAGCAAAAGACATGTGGTTGAAGTATGACACGCAGCTCATTGAAAATATTTTCAGATTCAGACTGAAAATTGCCTTTGTTTTCATTAGTGATAACCATTCAGAATGTTAGTCTTTCACCATTTAAGTATTACAAATCGGCACACCTTAGACTACATTCACTAAGAGGTTGGCTTTTATATTGGGGAAAAAAATAGGTCTTAGAGAGTATTTTTTTTTTATTCTGAACTACCGTTCATAGAATTATAAGGATGTGATGTTTCTTTAACATACTGTCAAACAGCTGTGTTCTTAGGATATATGCAAGGGTAAGTAGAAAACTGCCTGGTTTTTTCCTCTTTATTTCTGGGTTCACCAACATGAACGTGGTTGCAGAGTAAAGTTGTTGATGATATATATATATATATATATACAGATATATAATAGATAGGGGTTTCCTGGGTGGTGATAGTGGTAAAGAACCCACCTGCCAGTGCAGGAGACCTAAGAGATGTGGGTTCGATTCCTGGGTCAGGAAGATCCCCTGGAAGAGGCATGCAACCCACTTATTCTTGCCTGGAGAATCTAGACAGAGGAGCCTAGTGGGCTACAGTTCATAGGGTTGCAAAGAGTTGGACATGACTGTAGCAACTTAGCACACACACATAGACAGACAGACAGACAGACAGATAGATGTATGTATATATAGGGGGTTTCTCAAGTGGAGCTAGTGGTAAAGAACCCGCCTGCCAGTGAAGGAGACACAAGAGACCATTGACTCCCTGGGCAGAGAAGATCCCCTGGAGGAGGGCATGACAACCCACTCCAGTATTCTTGCCTGGAGAGTCCCATGGACAGAGGAGCCTGGCGGGCTATGGTCCATAGGGTCGCAGAGAGTCAGACATGACTGAAGCAACTTACATAAAGTGTGTATATAGATACGCTTTAACAGTCAAGCCCCTGGCCTTCTTTGCATTGTCATCTTCTTATCTCTGTCTCTGTTTCTGCCTTGAGCTTGCTCCAGCTCATCCTTTCCCGGGGCCCTTCTGACATTCCCCACTGCCTTCCACATCTTTCTCCCTCAGGCCATGACGCTAAGAAGGCTCCCAACCCTCCTACATTCTGCCACTTTCAACAGCTTCAACACTTCTTCCAGCTTCAAGGGAATACGAACATTTATCATACTCTGCTCTAATATTTCATTTTCTCTATCCAACAAGTAAGTTGAGCATTTCAGAAATCAGTTAGATTATGATCTATTTGTTAATTGCTTATAGAAATATGCTGTCTCCAGATACTTATGTGTGTTGTGAGAAAACTGCATGTAAAAAGAAACAATTCATCTATGCCTCAGTTTTAAATACAGTAATAGGAACTTGAGTAAAATAACTCTCAGACATTGATAAATGAACTAATTTTAACTCTCACGACGGTATACCCATTTCAAAGATGGATGAAACACACAGAGAAATTGTCATTCCACAGCTAGGAAGTTGAGGGCTGGGAGTTAACACCCCAGGAGCAGGTGCCAACATTTCTTAATCACTACGCCATACTGCTTCTCAGATGAATAGGAGCTCAGTAAACATTTGTTTCTTGGTTCTTCGACCAATGTTTCAGACTCCTTGCTGTATTCTTTATTATTTAAACATGACTACAGATGCTTTCAAGTTGTTTGTAATAGAAACAGACGGTTACTTGAATGTATTTGCAAAATTTCAGTATAATGGCAAGTGTCCAGGGACGTTTTTACAATACAAACAGTGGAAAGAAAATGTGATGCCTTTTTTTACATCTCTTTATTGTTTATTCTTTTCCTTTCTTGAATATTTTCAATCTGTTATCATGATCTCTTCCGGCTCTTGACTCCATTTATTAGACTTATCGGGTCAGCTTGACAGGCTTGAATATTTTACCATAGAAAGCACCCCCGTCCATGGTGCTGTCTGAAGAAAAGATTTTTTTAAGCTAAATGAGTTGAGGAAAGGCAAATTCAAAGCAAGCTTCCTGGGCAGAAGTGTGAAAGCAAAATTCAAGGTCAAGAATCTACATTCTTCAAAGGAAAATCTTTCTGGCTTTGATTTTCCTGCTTTGCCCAGCTTAACCAGCGTGGGGACGGGGGACTGTGTGGCGGGGCAGGCGGGGAAGGGAGGGGCAGACAGTCAGAGACGGAGGAAAGTGTTTGGTGCGGAGCGGGGTGGGTGGCGAAGATACTTTACGGAGCATGCGCGATGCTCACTCTCCGGTTTTTTCGTGGGGATTTTATTGCCTCAGTCCTCTCCGTCCTCAGCTCTAAACAAGCTGACAATTCGGTTCCACTTGGAAGAGCGGCATTTGCATTCCATTCCCCAAGTTCCCAGGAAAGGGGAAATAAAAAGTAACCTGAGAGGGAAGGGTTGGCGCACATGCACTTCTGAGAGGATGGAGCACTCTCCAGTGATGCGTCTGTTTGTTGCAAATGTTGGCATCTGATCCAGACTCAAGGCTTCCGGGGAAGACCTGGGGTGGCTGCTGCGTCTGGCTGGAGACTGGAAAAAAGAGCCCTAGAGGACGGCAAAACTGGGTTACCTGTACTTGAGACCCTCTTGTGGCTTCTCCAACAAATACTACAGAATCTCTTGCCTAGCGTGACTTCACCTTCTACAGGTGCGAAGAAGCTGGCGAGCTATGGTGCGGAATATAATTGAACTGCTGCCTCAGCTGGTCTTATTCTTTACTGCTTCTGGGTTTTCTCTTTGAATAAAATCTCTCACACTCTGAAAAGTATACTTCTGAATTGCATTACAATGTTTCATGGTTTAAAAAAAAAAAAAACTTTCTTGCTCAATTTTTAAATAATTTTATTAATGTATTTTTAATTGAAGGATAATTGCTTTACAGTATTGTGTTGGTTTCTGCCAAACACCAGCCTGAATCAGCCATAGGAATACCTATGTCCCCTACCTCCCACCTCCCTCCCCACCCCACCCCTCTAGGTTGTTTTTATTGGAAGAGGGCAACCAGGATGAGACAGTTGGTAGCATCACTGACTCAAAGGACATGAATTTGAGCAAATTCTGGGAGATAGTGAAGGACAGGGAAGACTGGCATGCTGCAGTCCATGAGGTCTCAAAGAGTTGGACATGACTGGCTGCCTGAAAGACAGCAACAATACACATACAACAAAATGCACTCACCTTAACCGTATGGGCCAACGTGTTTTTACACATGTATATACCATATGTATAAGAGTAGCATGTGTTTATAGCCCAGACTAAGATAAAAAGCATTTTCCCAAAGCCCTCTCCTGGGCGCTGAGCTAGCTTTGCTGCCAACACCAACTCTGGTAATCACTATTCCATGTTCCATCACAATGGACTGGTTTTGCCTGCTCTTGAATCTCACATGGAATTGTGTAGTGTGTCCTATATTACCTGTGGCTCTCTCATCCAACATAATGTGTTCTGGATGTATCCACGATGTCACAGGTAGCAATTGTCCATCACTTCTTATTCTGCATGTGGTTTCACTGTGGTATTCAGTAGGGCACACAATATTTAGCTGACATGAACATACTCGTACATGTCTTTTGGTTTGGCGTATGTGCTGATTTCTCCTGGCTACATGACTAAAAATGTACTTTTTAGAATATAGGGAAGGCGTTTTTGTTTAGTGATAATAAACATTACTAGAGATTTCCAAAGTAGTGGTATCCATTACTACCAATTGTCTGTGTATGAGCTCCATCAGTTCAGTTCAGTTCAGTTCAGTCACTCAGTTGTGTCCGACTCTTTGCGACCCCATGAATCGCAGCACACTAGGCCTCCCTGTAGTCTACTCACTGTAGACTCCCGGAGTCTACTCAAACTCATGTCCATCAAGTTGGTGATGCCATCCAGCCATCTCATCCCCTTCTCCTCCTGCCTCCAATCCCTCCCAGCATCAGGATCATTTCCAATGAGTCAACTCTTCACATGAGGTGGCCAAAGTACAGGAGTTTCAGCTTCAGCATCAGTCCTTCCAATGAACATCCAGGACTGATCTCCTCTAGGATGGACCATTGGATCTCCTTGCA